TGTGTTGAGGTCGCGCTGGATAACTTCGTGGTCGCTTGGTTCTTTGAACGCTCTCCATATCTTACTATCATCAGCGAAGAATAGGAAAACGGAAGTTATTGCTCTCGCTAGATCGTTTATGAAAATCATGAATAGACGAGGCCCTAGAACCGAACATTAGGGTACACAGCACTCAACCACAACTGCGTCGGATAGGGATGCTCGTACTCACATTCAACCGACTACCGTGCACAAAATTGCTTATCCAATTCAGTAGTGAGTCACCAATACTAAAGATCTGAAGTTGATGAAAAAGAATTCTGTGGTCTAAGCGATCAAATGCTTTTGAGAAGTCTAGGTAGATGACATCGACTCCTGCCCCATCATCAATTACTTCAGTCCAGCTATTGCGTGCAATTAATAGGGTCGTAATCCATGAGCGGTTTTGTCAGAAGCCACCTTGCTCCGGTACTATAACGCTGTGGTTTTCCAGGTACTGCTGTAGTGCATCATCAATGCTAGACTCTATAACTTTGGAAAGCACATGAATCAACGTTCTCGGACAGTAATTGGTTGGGTCAGTGCGGCTACCTCCCTTATGAATAGGAGTGATGAACCCTCGCTTACACATTGATGGAATTTGCTTCTCTTCTATACGGCGCTGATAACAAATAGCCATAGGTTCCGCCAGATGACTGGCTGCTGCCTGTAGAGCTTTCGGTGGAATGTTACGGACACCAGAACTGTGGATGCGTAGGGGGAACAGTTTCCTTAGCGTAGTTTCAGCAGTAAAAAGATATTGGATAAAGCTGACGGTGAGACAAAAGAAATAGGGATAATCCCCAGGCTTGTTACTCTGGAACGTATGTGAGTAATGGAACCATAAGAGATTGGCTGCTTCCGTTACTGATCGTGTGCACCCGTCAGTCGTTACCAGTGCTGGAATTTCGCGCTGCACCTTACGAAGACCATTAACCTGTCTGTATAAGTTTGCGGTTTTTCAGAATCCTTTCCATAACTTTTGCTGGTGCATCACCTGATCTTTGCTCATCAACTTCGAACAAAAGTTGCACTATGCCACGTAAGAACTCCAAGTATCGAGATTCGGGGAGTCCATGTGAGCTCCCCATGGTAAGTCCCTGAAGCACATGCATTTGCGTGTTCTGTTGTGCAGAAATGACGATCTTCCTTTGACGCTGGAAGGATTTCTGTTCCGACAGGGGCGCTAACCTTAAGCTGATATTTCCTTGAAATGTTTCCCAGACGGTTTCTGGAGGGTAGTCAGTTAAAAAGAACAAGGACGCCTCCATGACAAGCGCGGATAGCACGTTGCACTGCGTGACCGCATACCCTTTTTCCTCCTCTTCTTCAGGATATTCCGCGTAGCATACAAATTCAAAGAATATAGCAAAATGGTCACTGAGACCTTATGGTGTGCTTGTAACTAATCCGTTGCTCATATGTTCCTTGTTGGTAAGCAAAAGATCAAGTATCGACGGCCTGTTAGCAGTTCGAAATATGGTGGATGTCACGTGGTTGTACAGAGGGTAGCTGGAAATTAGCTTCTGCAAACAGACTTTGAATGGGATGCCATTGATTACCTTTATTTTCAGGTCGTGCACAGTAAGGACGCCTGCGATGAGAATTTCATTGTATAACGCTTCAAGCAACCACAAGAACGTGGTTCAATTTGGAGTCCATTTCCTAAGTGGAACTTGGTGGAGGGTAAATCACGGCAATTGGACACGTATCTTTGTTCTGTAACCATTGCCGGCAACGAAGCGAATCGGGGGCACTAGTTTCTGTATGATCCAAATGTTCACCTCAGTGGTTATCCTTGCAATACCACCACCATCACCACCGCATCTTCCAGTTCTGTCTTTCCAAAGCAGCGACATAGCACATAAATCGATCTCGAAGTCTGATATCGCATGGTTTGACCAGTTCTCTGTAATCACCACTGGATTTCTCTAAGTTCGCCCAACTTGTCACGACGGCCTTGGGTGTTAGTATACAAACAGGACCTTCTTTTGGATGTTAACAGTGTGTTAGTGGAAGCCACATTTGCGTTTACTTTTAAGCCCACTGTTCAGTAGTCGGACGCTAATCGTTTTTTAAGTGGGGTCGTTATTTCTTAAATTTCGGTTAGGGTTCCTGGTAGTACACCGTGTTTCAGCACGTTATGTTCTCTGTCCTGACAGGCATAGCGAGTGCTAGTGTTTCTATCAATGAAGGACTGTGGAGACAAAGGTTTTATTGAGATTGCATGTTCCAACGAAGTGCCAAGTACTCGTGGCCTTGCGCCTGCTATCTTTAGCCTAACCTCGGTTGGTACCTTCGAACCTGCTATCCAATAAGACTTCTGTCATCCCTTTGGCGTGTAGCATCACTTTTAATATTTTTGGATTGCAGGCCTTGTAGTTTTGCAGATGAAGAAATTATCATCAATGATTTAGTGACAACGTATTCTAGAGAAAGTGCTTCGCGGATGTAGCCCCACTGCGCTCGGTCATGTGTTTGCGCTTCATGATCAAAAGCATCCGGTAGTTCAGAAACACCATGAACGAATATGGTTTATTAGCTTCCGTTTGTAGAAGGGTCGCCAGGGCTGCTCTTGTTCTTTGACTGACCTTTCCAAGAAATATTTGTTAGTATGCGTAAGGCGACTCAATGCGTTGCGAATACCAACTGCTAAGGGCAGTAAGGGCTCTGTCCCCTCAGTTGAGTTCAATATTATTCGAAGAAATCGAGCTTCACCGTAGTGCAACGAATTTGAGTGACTTGCTAAGCTTCTCAGCATAGTGTGCTCAACCCGAACACAAATCGCATCGCAGATGGGATTCTACTGATTGCGCTTGTCTAACAACTTGCCTTTTATTGTGTCAGATTTGGACTCCGGAACGTCAGTGCGCATGATAGTTAACGCACTGGGGTTCTGGCTACGGAATGTCTGCTTGTTTGTTGTGGCTGGTAATTTGGCTTGTTTAGCAGACACTAAAGAATATCCTGAAAACAGTGTCTCATCGCTCGTGCTTGGTTCAAAGAATATACATACGGGCGTCACCAATGGCACTTTTATCCTGGTGACCGTAAGTATGTTGACTGACTCTGGGCTGCCGGTTTTGTGTTTATTTGTTAGGTTTGGCATCCAAGGATGAGTTAAAATCTACCCCACCGATTGTGATTGACTCACTTAGAGGGTCAGTAAGTGTCGGAGTAGTTGGTGCAGACGCCGTTGGGCGAGTAGGGACCCTGACTTTGCCCTACGACCTTGGGACAGATCTATGAGAGTTTTGCTGTAGAAGATCAGTTGTGTTAGATTCTATTGACACAGCCCCGAAGCTGGTGATCTACTAGACCGTTTCAGTCGGTTTGCATACTTTTTCTTGCAGACGATAACAAACTTGACCATTGGAATAGTTCTGTATAGTTGGCAAAGCCAGAACGCATCAGTCTGCTTGATATGTCCCTTAAATTCTAGTTGACTAACCTCATCGCACCGGGGATGGAGCTCAAGGCCGCATTCTGAATACGTTATGCCTCTTCTGACTACTCGTGCCTAGTTTAGCTCACCACACTGGTCTTCAAATGGGATCACGTTAACTAACGACCGTTGTTGCATTCGAACGCTGCAGTTGTTCGGTCAGACGGAATTAAGTACGTGTTAAACACTTGGGTTTTTCATTTGTTTGTACAAAAGGGTAAAATCCGGAAATAGGCCCCTACATGACAAGCAGTTGAGGTTGGTTCTGCGATCAAGCTAACCACCGTTTTCTTCGCGGTTAACTTGGATGCTCAGGGTCTGGTAGGTTCGGAATCCTCCAGTAAACAGTTCAAGGCCGACCTATAAGAGCTTATAGAAAGCACTCCGTTTTTCATGCATGACAGCTTTTCTACTGGATTCAGAACAGTAAAGAACCCAACAGTAATTCACCTGGAAGTTACGAATAGCTGACAAGTAGTACAAGGATAGCGCTAATAGGTGTAGCCGAAACCTAGTTAAATCCTGAGGGCACTACCCAGGAAGTCCAGAACAGTGGCTACTTGTACTTTCGGTGCGACAGACTATCGAAAAATCGAGGCGGCGTGCTGTCCTCGCTGTGCGGTAGACTGGTACATACCTACCGTAGTGAAGATAGCTTGTGCGAACAGTTTTGGTGCTCGGTCCGCCTGAGACAGGGCGAACTGTTTGTGGGTGCTGCTTATGTCAGCCAGCAAAATCGATGCATGAATTGGTTCCTGCATGTCAGGAACTACGTGAGTCGGTCTCGTTTCCTGTTTATGGGGGATTTTAACTTCCCTTAATTACGATGGCCTGAGATTAAACTGCTCCCCGGACACTGGAAAGTCAAGGCGCATTTTTCGTCAATGGAATTTGAAACTGGGGCAGCACATGTCTGCCAACCAACGCACGTTACACCGCACGCCGCTCCATCATGCCTGGACCTACTGCTAACGAGCTGCGAGCAACGAGTTTATGAAATTCAGGTCCTGGAGCCTCTGGCAGGTAGTGACCACTGGATGGTAATGCACGCACATTTCTCCCAAAGTTGGTGGCATACCCCCTATTATGTTATGCAAACGACTCTTTCAAAGGTGCTTTGATGTACAGCTGATCCATTACGCGCTATGACCAGCTTTCTTTTGGTAACATGAAAAGACGACCGAACACTGAGCCCACTAACCCCCATGAAGCCGGCGTAGGCAGGCCAGTTGCTATGCTAAGGCAGGTAGAACCGTGAGTCCACAAGTGCGTAGTCTGACTTCCTGACAACTTTTTCAGTAAAATTGCATTGTTTACCCAAACTATGCATCCGTACTTTTTGGGCTTTTGCATGTACAGTCATATGAAGCCATTGTTTTCTTGTTCCATCATGCATCAGATCAAATCTTATTACCAACTCTCAGCATGTTATCCTTGGAGATGTCAAAACGGTGGATTAAATAACACGATGAACTAAAAGTTTGGAAATTCCTACATGGTTTGCGTTTCTCATTATATCCACTATCCATTTCCACAGGGCTTTGGGATCTGTTGAGCTTCCCAATCTTCGTTATCCCCGAGTGAGCAAAGTGACCGTTTACCTGGTGCGTAACTTGGACGATACATCAGCACGGTGAGTGTGGTGTAGTAGTCGTAATTATGCCGTCTTGATTTCAGTGTGCTAGTAGCAGCCGTCCTATTCAGTTAAAAACTAAGGTGCTTAATCATTTTTCCTTCAGTTCGGCCTGTGAGAAAGAATCAATCAAAGAGCTGCGCGAGCAAATACTTGCCAAGAACATAACCTATGATTGCCAAGAGGATCCGGAGTGAGTGCATTTCCTTCAAATGCGTACAAATAAGCGTCCATGCTTCGTAAGACTTTATATCCCAGCACCTGTGTATCGACAGAAACGGTGGTATGGGAATGCTCTAAGGCGGATGGCTATGTGTGATAATTGGAGTTATGTTGTTGCTTAATGGGTAGAGTTTGCAAGCTGCTTCGTGTTGGGCATGATGCCGTCTATATTATGGCGGCTTCCTCGACAGGACAAAGTTACGTTGGAAATGCTGACAAAACGTCCATGTGCCACGTGTGACCTCAGGTTCCCTATACCATGCATATTTTTGCTTCCTTCACAAAATTCACATTATAGTAATGGATCATGATCCACCATGAAGCAGAATGAAACAAGAAGCAGCACTGGGTTCAGGTCTGCCGGAAGTGGCGTAGTCGATATTTATAAGATGAGCTTGTATGTACTCCGTATTCTAAACGGAAAGTGGGGAAACAAAGCGCAAGAAGGGCCAATGTAATCACTATGAAACAAACGGTCGAAAGTATGAACTGTTTCTGATCATCAAGTGAAGAGGTCGAGAATGAATAATGAAGTTATACGGGTTAAGAAGCATTGCTTTACAAGTCCCGTTGGATACTTGGTAGGGAAATCGACATAACAATAATGATAATAACAACAATAGTACAACAGTACTTTACATTTGCAATTACGGACTTATCATTTGCTTCGCGGTGGTCCTGCAACCCGCTTAGATTAACAGCACCCGCAGTTAACGTCAAATAAGTCCACGGTAAACCGCAGGTGTAGGATGGAGACATAGTGCTAAGTGATAAAGTCTTTTACATACTGTTACATACTGTTATTATCGGTGCAGTGACGACCGATTCTAGGAGAGCATGAGAAGGGTGACAGACACGAATGGAAAAGAAATTTCTGCGACACTCCAGACGGCTGTATTGTTCTGCGAGTTTCAATGAGTGACCCCTCATATTTGTATTGGTGCTGAGTCGCAGTCAATGGTGGCCCACATGATGTGGGTCTCGCATAATCAAGTATGCTATAATCAGGTCGCCTCGTAGCCTGCGACAGCTTCCGCTGAATACCCCAATCGTTGCAGCCTCACCTGGGATGAAAGCTTGCGCATTCCATTTTGGTTCTTAGATGTCCGAAATTGTGGCTGATCCACTGTATTACGGTCGTGTTTCAGTCATGGACACCAGGTTTGATTGCGTATTCGCCATGTGGGCGAACATACGCACTGAGCATTTTTTGAAATATGGAGCTGTTTATTTATCCAAACGCCCGTCGCAACAGCCCGACATATTGGTTCCCAGTCTTCGAGGCTTTTTCGGATTGCTTGAAGCAACCCAAGTCATCTTAAACCAGGCCACGTAAGTCAAGTCCGAGAATTGACTGTTGTAGTATATTCGTTCTTAACCGATATGAGTAGTTGCAATGATGTCGGATGGAAAATACCAATCACTTACTCGCCTTAAAATGCAGTAAATATTGGGTTTACCATTGATATAGCGTATCCAGGTCACTCTGAAGCAGATTCTGGTCGGAATTCGCCTGGATCCTGTGCCAGATCTTGACATCGTTGACAAGTACTAGGAGGTTTGAAGCGATGCCCTGTGCAATGTCATTATTAAACGCCAAAAACAAACGTGGACCTAGAACTTAGCCCTGCGGCACCACACTCGATTTGTATGCGGTCCGATAAGGAGCTCCGCACTCTAACCACTAATTGTCGTTCGAACAAAAAGTTGGCAACATAGCTTAAAATAGGGTCGCTGGTTCCGTAATTCTGGAGCTCGGGAGTAATATCCGATGTTCTAGACGATTTAAAGCTTTGGAAAAATCAATGTAGATCACATCAGCGTCAGCTGACTCGGCCCAACTCCAACGTCCCATTAGTAAATACGTTATAAATGACCGCTCTCGACACAAACCGTGCTGATCAAGTGTGATGATGTTAGTCTTTCAGATAGCACCCCAGTGCATCGGGAACTACGGATTTCATGACCTAGGAGAGTATAGGGCGAAGAGATACCGGGCGATAGTTAGAGAGATCTGTTCTTCTTCCACCTTTGTGAATCGGGTTTATTATTCCAAGCTTCCACATAGCGGGAACTTGATTCTTGTCTAAACAGCGCTGGAATAACTAAGCAATGGTCCTGCCAGTTGGCTTGTTGCTGCTTCCTGTGCCTCCGGACGAGTGGTGTCGGCACCCGGCGAGCTGCGTTTGCATAGAGACGTCAGCTTTTGCAATCTAACCTCCGCGTAAAAGTGTTGTGGGTTAGTCCTGGAGGAGAGACGACAGCTGTTGAAAGATCCCTTGGTGGCAAGACCATCTGAAACATGGGGGCATATTGCATCCGCAGCATGTTTGCTGCTTCCACACCCGTTCTTGCTGGACCATCAGCCATCCTGAGTGGAGGAAATCCTTGCTTCAAGTTTCGTACGCTTTTGACCTTTAACAGCATTTATTGATTATCACTAAGTGTTTTTGCAATGTGCTGCGGATAGGCAGCTTTGTCTTCTCTTGGTAGTTGAGTGCAGTGGTTACGTTGGGCTACGTATTTGTTCCAAGTTTCTGGTGCTAGAGCTTCTCTGTACCCTTGCCATGCTGTGCTGCGTATTGTCATCCATTTTCGAGTTCTGCTCCTAACGAAAGAGACTGATTTACGCTTACTACAAACTCTTATCTCTGAAGCCTCTGCAATCAGCTGACTGGATTTGTTGACGAACTCGAGCCAGGCGACTTTCGGGAGTTTTTCGACAAGGAACGACCAAGTTGTGGCGCTGACGAGCTGGGCTAAGTGGTGGTAGCTCATGTTGGTTCGCACAGTCTCATCGTTCTCATTTCGATATTTCGCATAGCAGACGAAATTGAAACTGATGACTATGATTACTGCGACCCAACAGATAGACTATAACCAACACATAAATCATATGCTCCACGTTGGTAAGTACAAGATCCGGAACAGATGGCATTTTACCTGTTCTGAACTGAGTAGGCAAAGTGATGTGATTGTAAAGAGGAACAGTAGTTACTAGATCTTGTAGATCGGCTTTGAATTGATCTCCGATCGTGGCAGCATATTTTTTAAACAATGTATGTTGAAATCACCCATGAGAATATGTGAGTGTACTTTCCTTTTACTTGCATCTTAAAGCATCCGCTAGGTGGCAATCGGTTTCGGGTGTGCTATTAGGGTGGGGGGCGTACACCAAAAAAATAAGGCAAGCGTCCCTGCCTTTTAACTGCAACCGGCACCAAAGATAGTCGGAGTACTTCGAGTCTGAATCCTCCACAGCCTCACACGATAAGTTGCTTCGGTAATACAGCACTACCCCTCCTTTTTTGTGAGCCTATCGTTCCGGATCAGCAACATGTCCAGTGGCGAAAATTCAACGTCCGTCATTCCCGAGTGCAACCACGTCTCATTGATACCAATGACATTATATGACCCGGAAGCTTGGCGATATTTTAGTTCGGCGTGTATTACAAAGTCCCTGAGCATTCGTATACAAGCAGGCCAGCTTCTCGGTCTCTAGGAGCCCAAAGAGGGATGGAGGGGTCAAGTGTGGGAGAATGCCAACCAAAGGGAGGTCGGCAGTTACTCGTATTTTTATTAGATAATGATATCATGTATACAACTTGATAGGGTCAAGATGCGTCCCAATCTTCGTTAAAACCCACGTCAGAGTCTATTAAAGCAGCAGTCAAGTTGCGCTTCTGTACATTCGTCGGTATGCTTGCTGCTTCAGGTTTTTTAATATTTTAGCTGTGCAAAACTTTTACGACCTTTAACCGAAGGTCTGAATGAAGATGTTTCCGATTTCTCCGTCACCAATCCAAAACATCCGTTGCTTGTTACTCTACCTGAACCACACGTTTTAGGTTTCTAGGGCCGCATTCTCTATAATTTAATGAGAGAGGTATCCTGGTGAGCGATAGCATCACAATATTATCCAAAGAAGGTGTTCCACGAATGAACCGCCAATGTTCTATCTCGTGTTTCCCGGTCTCTTGAATATCGTAGGTGTTGACGTAGTATAGTCAGTGTTGATGCAATATAGTAGGTGTTGATGCAGTATATCTGGACTTCTCAAAGGCTTTCGACCATCTGAACCACCGTATCTTCCTTCACAAGCTGCAGTGTTGTGGAATTGGTGACCCAATCCTCGGTTGGATAGGTAACTTCTTGCTTCAACGACATTTGAATGTAAGAGTTCGCAGCGTCATCTCTGACCCAATCGACGTTAAGTGCGGAGTGTCCCAGGGCTCAGTACTTGGTCCACGACTCTTCCTGATTTACCTAAACGATCTCGCGAGAGTAATCACCTTCAACTCCTTACCCTTCCCTGACGATCTCAAGATATGGCGAGCCATTAGAACAACTAGTGACAATGCAGCACTTCAGGATGATCTTGACAGGGTCTACGAATGGTCGACTCAGAACCTGCTTCAGTTCAACGCTACACAGTGCAAGGTGTTGAGCATACGCCGTGAATCCACTTGCGAATACAGACTGGGGGATGAAATTTTGCAGCGCACTACAACGGACTGCGATCTAGGAGTGGTAGTGCAGGAAGATCTGGGCTGTTTCTGTCAGGCCAAGAAAGCCTCGAAAAAAGCTGACCAACACTTTGGCCTTTGCGGATGGCATTCGGGCGCTTTGATCTTTCCATGTTTTCCCAGCTTCTCAACGCCTACATTCGGCCTCATTCTGAGTACGCCATCCACACCTGGCAGCCATGGCAAAAGCAAGATCTTACCGCTCTTGAACTGCCACAAGGAAGGGCCACCAAGAACGTAAAGGGCCTGTTTCATCTCCCATACCGATTGAGGCTGAAAACCCTCGGGGTCTACAGTGGACAATATCGACGCCTGCGTGGCGACTTGATTACGACTTATATGATCCTGAGGAATCCAAACCATTCTTGTCGTTAACTACTAAAGCTGGATAGCAATACCACACTCAGAGGACACCATATAAAGCTTTCCACACAATACAGCCGGT